TTTCAAAAATATTTGTTGTAGGAAAATATATTTTATTTAAATTAATAATGTAATTAGTAAAAAAAATTATTCTGAAGTTTCAAAAAATAAAAATGCAATCTATAAATTAGTTAAAATGTAAAAAAAAAATCCCGGATGTGTGAGGTAGGAACCAATTAAAAATTCATTTTTGATGAAAATAACTGTTTGCATGTTTTTTATTTGGCTTTTTACTGACTTATTCGGCAATAGTAAAAAAATAAACAATGCTTTAATAACTTATTAAGTTTGTATGTTCTTTGTATACACCTAAATTAATATTTAACCCTTTGTATAATTAAGAAAATGAACTTATGAATGTCCAAAGCGTTCATTGCGCCCCATTCACAGCTTCCCCTCTCTGGGAATTTGTCATGAGGTAAGCGATACAAGTCGCGTGCGTCAAATCATTCTGATAGCCATTTGCTTGCCCTTTCGTCAAAAGGCGCTGCCTACTCTACCCTCTCTCCCCATCACAAGCGACCCTCTCCCCGCGGAACTCCAAATTACCACAAGCGCTGGCGCTCTTCTGAAGCTAGTTGGGCAGACCTGAATTAGATCTTTCGGAGGTCTAAACATGCCGTATATGGCCCTCAGACGAGCTCTGTCGGTCTCTCAAGGAAGCCGGGCAAATTCTAAACGAATCATAAGATGAAAACTCCATGGACACATGAAGATTCCTTCCTGCGGGCACCGTCCGTACTTGTAATGGCCACAGATGTTCATGTTCAACATTCGAACACACATCGTAGGAAAATAATGGTCAGTCCACTCCTGTACACGTTCTCTCACGATCACACAAACAACAAAGTCCATCCATCATTATACTCTTCCTAGTAAGAAGAGGAGCAAACTAGTCTGCTGCTTTCGATGATGTGGATGGTGGTACTGTGTTCCTGTCGGATGTGGTGTCACTGATCCTCTTGTTTCGGAGCAGCAAGGATCGAACATGCTGCGCGGGCAAGTCCACGAAGATGGTTAGTGCTATGGATGCTAGCATGATGCTTCCAAATTCAAGAAAGTTGAACTGAAAAAGAGCAAAAATGCACTTAATTAAAAGATTTGATGATGATTACATTGAATGGTAGTCATTGGCGTCCACTTAACGGGTGCCAGGAACCATGGCACTCCAAGTCCATAAGGCCAACGAGCTTAGTTCTAGAATTTGCAACCGCAATTTTCTACAAGAATCGTACCATTACCCATTTAAAGCTGGTCGTGTAACTTCAAACTTCTGCTTCCTATTTTACACGAGGTGCCAAAACTGATTTGACTCACTGGATGTTTCACGTTAGCTCATGCGCATCCGTGGCACACAGGAAATACGTTTATATGAGGTTTTGAACACAGCAACCAATTTGGCTCGCATTCCTAAATTTTTACTTGAAAAAACGTTTAGGAGCTTTCCGGCCATAAAGAATTAAAAAAATTTAAACATTTTAGTATTGGCTAAAGACAGCGCTTAGATCTTAATGTAAACACGTACACTACTTCTGTAGTAAATTCGTAAAATTATAATTTTTGTATTAAGACGTATTATATTAAACATACAAAATTGTAAAACAGATAAATGTGTAATGAAAACTTAATATTATAAGTAAAATATGCTATCTTGAGCGATATAGAAAATTTATTTTCGTCTTTGTAAAACCAGTAAAAACCCCTCTCTGATGGCGTCACTAGCCGTATTTGTAGTGCTAGTTTACGATTGGAGGGGCAGTGATTCAAGTTCAGCGAAGAGTAAATTTCTATTTCATGGTTCTATGTTCATTTACTTATAAAACACGAAGAAAAGACAGGAAAGCTTATCGGAAAGTAATAGTTGCAAGTGCAATTTTTTGGCCGAGACTTTCATAATGCCACGAGCCGCTACTGATTGTAATATATTTTTCCGTTTTTTTATTATCAGTCCAGACAACTTAACATTTTCTCTAATCAATAGCTTTCTAACGTAACTTTACGTTGCATGAAGTGCACTTATACTCAATAAAGCAAGTAAAATAGTAACATAAACAAGCACAATTTGCCGATATTAGTAACATTAACATTGTAGAAGCTTCATGGTTAAAGTATGCGCGGTTTAATTAATTTATACGAAAGCCAGTAAATTGCTCTGATGCTGCGAGGGGCGGGTATATTTCATTTAATGTCCGCGGGTAAAATGACTCATATCAGTACGTATATTTACCAAAATATGCCTGACAGTTTTTACTGTTCTGTGCAGAACTAAATCAAAAATAAATAAATAAACCATTCAGGCAATAACTCACCAACAGGAAGAAACTGTATGTAATATCTGTGCGCGCGCTGCCAACGTTGTAGAAGAAAACGGGAAACTGAACGAGATACAGAGCATACGAGAGGCGAGTAGTCACTTGGAAACCTGGCCAACACAGAACTCTACCAATTACACCTGAAAAACAAAAGAAATCACGTACAATATTTTATCTTCAAAGAAATAAAAAATAATTTCTAATAAAATATTACCTATATCTTCCAATCTAGCATGAAGAAGAGAAAATAGGATAAATAAAGAGGCACATACAATACGATTAAAGGATAAAAGGACATGACGCCATTAAAAGGAAGAAAAATAGGAGAAAGAGAAAAGGAAGCCGGAGTAGAGAAACGAGGATCAAAAAGTAGAACAGAAAAAGACGAAAAAAGTGTACCACAAGAAGGAAAATTAAATATGAGAAAATATGATGTAATAGGAGGAGAGAAAGACAGACAGACGGACCGAGAGAGAGAGAGAGAGAGAGAGAGAGAGAGAGAGAGAGAGAGAGAGAGAGAGAGAGAGAGACAGACAGACAGACAGACAGACAGACAGACAGAGAGTCAGACTAGAATATTAAATTAGTGGTGCTAAAAAGTACATAATTCCCGCATTATTTGCAATTGCAGTTTTGAACTTTTCGCATTTCAGAGCGTTCAACGAAAATGGGACCTGCATCATTTTTATTAGCATACTTTATGTGTGGAAAAAAATTACAAAGAAATGAAATCGTTTTTGAGAAAAAAATTAATTGCATTCACTTCGAACAAAAATTACGCGAACAATACTTATATTTTCGAAAAATTGTACATTATATAATTTAAAAAAATACATCTAGTATTAATAATACAAGATGATATTTTTGGAACAGATTTCATTAAGGAAAAAATCTATATCAGCAATATTGTAGTTTTGCAATGTAAATTTTTTTCAATATCTAAAAATACACATTTCACCAGAAATGATATCTTCGTTCTTTGCTCTATGGTCTACCCGATAAAAAAATGTAATTCGCAAATTTGGAGCAATTTTTGAGAACATTTTAAAAGTGCCGCTGAGGCGTCAAATATCACATTCGTTTTAAATTAACAAGCCTTGGAGTTAAGCCAGAACGATCGGGGAATGTCGATTTTGGAGGAAATCCTTTGAAAGATTTAGGTGGTTGAACCACAGACGGACGGACAGAAATACTATAGCAGTCAACCAATTCTTCGGTATCAATGACCCACAAAACGTGGGTTCTGACTACACAACGTATTAGAGAAAGTTATTTACTACTAGGATAATATATAT